CAAGAAGCTTCAACAGTTGCAGATAAACTAGTTCATGAAGTCTTCTGTCGTTTTGGAGTACCTTTAGAGATTCACAGCGATCAAGGAAGGAATTTTGAGTCTCAAATATTCCAGGAAACTTGCCGAGTTATGGGTACTCATAAAACAAGAACGACTTCTTATCACCCGCAATCTGATGGAATGGTGGAACGATTTAATCAGACATTGGAGAGGTACCTAGCAAAAGTTGTAGACAATCGGCAACGAGATTGGGACAAGCACATACAACCGTTTTTGTTGTCATATCGAAGTTCTGTTCACGAAAGTACAGCAGTGACACCAGCTTTCGCAAACTTTGGAAGAGAATTACGGCTGCCTGCAGACCTGATCACCGGGATACCACCCGATGCTCCACGCAGTATAACCGATTATGCAAATGACTTGCGGAAAAAAATGAATGACGTTTATGAGCACGTCAGACAATCGGGCCAGCAAATGTCTGAAAAGATGAAAACCCGGTATGACCGCAAAATGAACAACAAAGGTTTCGACGAAGGTTCACTTGTGTGGTTGCACAATCCAGTCCGCAGCAAAGGGAAATCTCCTAAGCTTCAAGCTAAATGGGACGGCCCGTACCGGATTGTAACCAGGATCAACGATGTGACCTACCGGATACAGAAAGGCGCAAGAGGGACTCCTAAGATCGTCCATGTGGATCGCTTGGCGCGTTATTATGGGACCGATAATGCTCGGGACGAGCATGTCTTAGGAGGGGGCAGTGTTGCATGAATAAGTCAACTAGCGCCATCTAGTGTCAGGAACGAGAGCGAGGGGAGCATTGAGAAAATGACATCACAAATCGCTCAACTGACAGCGCCTAGTAGAAACTCGAACGCTCGGTACCTTCCGCGTGTTTACTTGAACATTCTGGATATTTCTTTGCTAATTCAAATATATAGGCGCTGCAAGATGCGATCGAGGCAGTGTTGATTTGGGCGAAACAAGCGAAGCTTCGGAGCGAAATTAAGTGAATTAGTGTGTTTAATTATTAGTGTTTTAAGTTTTAATTTGTTTAAAGTAAATTAAAGTGTTAATTTAGGTAATTTTATCGGCAATTTTTATTGTCACGAACCTCAAGCTCGTAACACTATTTTGATAGCTTTTTGCCTTGAGTGCTCTGGGCAACTTTTTTCAACAGCCATATGATTTGCAGAGCAGAAAAGACAGGTTGGGGAATCTGTGGCACAGTTCTCCGGTGTGCTCTTTGCTGCATTTTGCTTTGACATTGGGCTTTGACATGTCCGAAACGGCAACATTTTAGACATTGGATAGTAGGAAGAAGGTATGTTTCGACTGGTATGGAAGCATAAAAGCAATATGCTTCCATATGGGAGGGGAGCACTTGCCCTGAGAAAGTGAGGACAACAGTTTGAGCTGGAACCCACTCCACTTCATCACCTTTTTTGACCTTTCTGTTAAGTCTTCTGGCTTTAATTATTTCTCCTCTGCCAGGAGGGAGCTCAGACTCGCCCACTAATTCCTCCATAGAGATGTCAGTCGGGATACCCCTGATCACACCCATACGGGTGACATTAAAAGTTGGAATGACAGCAGAAAGTTTATAATGCGAGAGAAACTCAGAGTCAATAAAATTATTAGCATCTGTTGTTATTAGTAGCTGTTGCGCCCTAAAATTTTGATACCCTGTTTATCAATATTGGCCACTTTCTTTTGAATAAGGATATGATCAATTTTCACAGGTCTAATTGTATAACCTGGTGATGGATCAGGTTCTGAGCGGCTTAAATGTATAACAAATGGGCCTTTATCGCTATCTACATACTTTTTTATCTTGGAAGTCAGGGTGGACATATGTGTTTTGGTAAGAGGCAGAAGGGTGGTCTTCGTGCCCTATTTTTTTCTTTGGGAAGTTGGGTAATGGTAAGGAATCCGTGAGTTTACGTGGAAGCTTTATAGTTTCGCCATGTCCATCTGTTTGTCACAGCCCACAGCCATTTTTTTATGTACAAAAGTTTAAAGTGGAATTTTTCTTTAGTGACCTGAGTAGCAGGGAACTTGTTTACGTAAATTGTGCTCTCCGCTACCCTACCTTGTAGGTGATCCGACTCGCACCTGGCCGTTTTTTTTTCTAATACAATCTTGTGTTAAAAGCTGACTAAGTCAATTAGAATACAAAGTGGACTAAGACATCCCCCTCGCACACCCCTTCAACCACCGCGTTTTCCTACAACAACCATTTTCATTGGCTATTGACTGCTCTTACCTAAATATTTTCGGAGACGAGTTTGACAGTGTTCTGTCTGATTGTCTTGATCGGCTAACAAAATGCATTTGAATTATGTATGTCATACTTACTGTGGAACAATTTTTTGTGAATTTTTCACGCCGTTTTTTCATTATTTCGACTATTTGTTGGAAAGATTTTAACTGTTTACTATTATTTTAGGGCTACAAACGGAAATACTTGGCATATCTATGTTATGTCCACACGTAGCAAATAACAAAAATACCTCTACCTAAAAGTAAAGTAAAGTTACAGCCTATATACGTCCCACTGCTGGGCACAGGCCTCCTCTCATTTCTGAGAGGGTTTTAGGGCAAGGAAGTGTCCGCCGCGCTGCCCCAATGCGTGTTGGCGAACTTCACATGTCTTCGAAATATTTTATTTTTATTTCTCAGACATGCAGGTTTCCTCACGATGTTTTCCTTCACCGCCGAGCACGTGTTAAATCAGCATTTAAAATTATAATTAACAATTTCATTGGGGCCGGTGGAGATCGAACCCGGGTTGCTCGCGTACTGTGAAATTTACAGCGAGCGCTAACCATCTGAGCTACCACGGCTTTTTTCTACCTACCTACTCTTATAAAAACTACTTAAACAATGTTTTTTAATTCCGAGAATTCACAGGATTCCGGGAAATATTTGGCGTATCCATGTTATGTTCGCATGTCGCAAGTAGCAAAAACAGCTCTACGTACTCCAACCTATAATATTGATAACACAGTGGCTACAGTAGCTAGTTACAAATTCCACACACTGTATTATAGTTATTAATGATACGAAAAGTTGATAATAGAAACTATTAATGCACTTTTCAGTTCACTTTACACTTCTTTATATGACTCCGTTCACTTTTACATTAAAATGTGAACTTTAGACTGTTTTTCTTTATTGAATTCCTGCCCACACCATGATTATTTCGCCTTGGTATGAGTGTATCTCCTGAGGGTGCCTTAGACGGCTAACTCTCCCCGGAGTTTTTCAAATAAGTGTTCTTCGTGAATCCGGATGAAACCCAAACCTCATCAGTGAACATTCGTCACTGCATGGTAAATGCTCACGAGCCCACAAAAGCTGCCGTCCTCGATTACTACGTCCCATGGCTCGTAACATTTCATCTCGACTCAAAAGACGACGTGCATGACTCTTAAAGCTCACACGTGATGAGAGGAGTTAAAAAAGAAAAATAATCTAATCACTTTTTATTAATATCCGTAAAACAATTTTAATTTTCCTTGACGTAACGAATACCAGGGCGGCTGTAAAGTTCGCGGCCTAGGGCACTAGTTGCAACACTCAGTATTATAACTACCTCGTTGGTCTAGCGATTGTAGTTGTAAGACTGCTGATCATGAGGTCCTGGGTTCAAATCCCGGGTCGGGCTATAAAATCAATTATTGAGTGTTTCTGTCAAGAAATTCTCAGTAGCTGCCTGGAGTCAGGAAGTTAGCAATGTCTCACCCCCCGTGCCTCGGAAAGCACGTAAAGCCGTGGGTCCTGCGCCTGATCTCTCTCCGGTCGTGTCGATTTACCGTCCGATTATGAGAGTGAAGGAATAGAGAGTGCACCTGTGCTTGCGCATACACTTGGGCACTATAATCCTGTCCTGCGCCGTTGGCTAGCCTCCGTTGAGGCAGGCCACCGTGGCCGAAATTTGGTATAGAGGACATTATTATTAGTATTATAAAAGAAGCAATCACTAATTAAGTTTGCACTCACAGCTCAGTTATTTATTGAACAACAATCATCACCATGTCAGCCGAATTTGGAAATTCTCGGAATTTCGAACACCGCACCGTGATAGAATTCCTCGTAAAGAAGGGAAATACACCGAAAGTCATTATTGAAGAGATGTCATCGGTTCTTCAGGATTCTGCGCCTTCACATACGATGGTGAAAAAATGGGTCCGCATATTTCAAAAAGGAGGAGAGTGCTGTGAAGACGACCCTCGCTCAACAACCAACGTTGACTCGCAAGTTGCAAAGATTTTTTTGGACCTGGTCGGCGATAACAAGGATTAAACATGGATTCGCTAAATTGATCCGGAGTCCAAACAAAAGTCCATGCAATGGATAAAAAAAGGAGAAAGGCCGCCGAAGAAATTCAAGCTGGAAATGTCGGCGTCAAAACTGATAGCGACTGTTTTCTGGGATATCGAATGGTAAATTTTTAGGCCTCATTTATGATGATATTGCTTAATATATACTATAAAAAACAAAATACAATTGAATTGTCGGCTAAAAATTTAGGTCAGACCATAGATAAATAAATATGTAGCAAGCTAGGTCAGACTAGGCTGTTTGGGCATAGATCCCTTTGTCTTGAAATAAATACTACAAATGTCAATGATTACGAATTATGTCACACTTTGATTGCGAAGTAAAAACAAATTTGTTAGATTTATATTTAATATTTTTTACAAGACAGCTGGTTAAATAATAAGTCAGCGTGTTTTGAACAGTAATAATGTTTAAATATCTAAAGTATTCAGTTAAAATAACTCCTATGATATCACGGAATAGCAGCAATAAAAATTCCAGCAGAGATGGCTTAGATTATTGTGCGAATATAGTTAGGTAAGTTGGTTTCGCTATAATCGTTAATTTTGTGACAAACATTTATTACTGCTACCAACTTCTCAAGACTTTCTCTGGTACTTTGCTCTATTTTTACAGATAGACAGCACGACTACGAAAATTTCATAGCAACCCTTCTTATGACGAAAACTATTCGTTCTCCGGCTCTAGTTGTAAGGGCATTCAATGTAGAAGTAGCAAGAGTGCAAGATCAAACTAGCGACTCGCAAACGGCTGCTTTTAGAGTACAATTTTGGCTTGATACCATTAATTATATATATAAGAAGGATCAAACTATTAGCAAAATTCCTGCTAACCCTATCGCGAAGGAACTGTTTAAGGTAACAATTTTATTTATTGTATACAATAATAATCACAAATGTTTTCTTGTATGAAACTTCTAGGAATATAGGACATTGAATTAATAAGGCACCTTACAAACGTAATATGTATGTGAGGTGTCAGAATGTATGAAATGAAATATTTCGCTAAATAAATTTTGTTGTTCCTAATAAGTTATAAGGTTAGATTAGCTATGTTGATTTTACTATGACAAAACATCCTTTTGTAATAAAAAACAAAATGGAATTACGAATAAATGGGTTAAAATTTCCAATATGGACCATCGATTTAAATGCTCATATTTTTTTTGTAGATAGTTCTTACTAAAAGAAAGCGTTTTGCAAAGTTTTAGGTTGCAAAAACTTACGGTTCATGAGATATATTTTTTTTTACTTTTTATACAAATTGACAAATAACATGCAATTACAAAATAAATTTGGCCAACATTATTTCTAATTAATGAAATTATATTATTATTAGAGGTGGGCCGAATATTCGTTTTATATTCGGTATTCGGCTAAATCACCGAATATTTGTTAAAGTGGTATTCAAAGTATCCACTGTATGGAAATGTATGAATTGAGTAATGCCATGTCTTTAATAATTTTACTGTTGAAAGTATATTTATTTATGGGTTAAATCTACATGTATAGCGTTATGTTTTTGAGGCACTGTAGATTTATTTCCAATTATAGCAAATAGAAAGCTTGATAAAACTTTGTTTGGAATAAAAGAAACATCACTTTACAGTCGTCAGTTTCTCTAAAATTGGTCCAAATAGTAGATCTCCTGCCACTCATTATCATCACATACTTATCAATTTTCACTAAGAATACTTTTTTCTCACAAAAATAGTCAAAACATAAGCATGTGCCGGCAATTTACTCAATACTGGATGATGCAATAACTTGTCAGGTGTGGCAGGGGAGCAAGGGGAACTCTGGCGCTAATCAAGTTTCGACATAAATTGGTTAGGTACCGAGTTAATCCCGCCGAATATTATTTTCGGCCGAATATTCGTTCGGTAAACATTTTACCGAATGTTCGGCCGAATATTCGTATTCAATGAAATACATATTCGGCCCACCCCTAACTATTATAATATTTACAATTAATACTAATTACACACAATATATAAAAAAAGAAACTATAATATAGAAAAACTAATACTAAAAATTTAAATAGACAAATAATTGATGTCAAACGTCAATCACTTCACATTTCAATTTGTGTAGGGTTCCGAAAATTTTGAAAGTATTGATACCTACTCAATACCAAGTATCGCATCAAAAGTATCAATACTACTTAGTATCGAGTACATTTTGTTAATTTTGGAGACTAACTTTCCAACATGGACCATCGATATATGAGGTTTTAGGGAGAGAGGGGGGATGGCTGTGGCCCCCCTGTGCCATCCCCACCCTGCGGAACCCCATGGTTATGGAGATATTCATGGTTAAAGTTTATTATATTATTTATTATTATTCTCGTTTCCGTATGTCTGATGAAATGGAGGGGGGATATGGGGGAGGAAGGGTAAAATGAACTAGGTTAAATGAAGAAAAGGGTTGAGCTTATGGGAAAAGGGGGGGTAAGGTTAATATAGCAGGGAAGTGGTGTGGTGGGTTAGTAGTGGGACGTGAGGTGGGAGGGGGGGGGTTTAGAAGCGGAGAAGACGTGCTCCGGCGCTCCGTGGCAGCTCCGGCGCTGCGGGATGAGCAGTCCCTCCGCCCTAGCGTAGGAAAGCGCAGCACCTGAGCTTTCCTACGGCGGGCAGGCACTGCTCTCCCTCCGCGCCTCCAAGCTCTTATATACACTCTAGGGGTAGGGCAGACAAGACCCCGTGGATAGTGGGGTGCTCTGATTCGGTTTTAGGTACTTTTTGGATATTAAATAAGTAAGTAAACACTTTATTGTAGTAAGAATTAGATAATACAGAAAGTTGCAAACAATGAAATAGAAGTACTAAGGTGGAACTAAAATAGAGTAAACTTTATTCTATTTTATATACATATTTTATTGCACTTATCAGCTCTTCATATGCATCTAAATGGTTTGTCATAATTTTTCGTCTCCAAAATTAACGAAATGTACTCGATACCAAGTAGTATGATGACGACTCCGTGGCGCAGTGGCTTAGCTATGAGTGGCTGCGCTGGGGTCGCGGGTTCGAATCCCGCACGGATCAAGTATTTGTATGGCCTACAAATAATTGTTCCAGGTCTGGATGTTTGTCCTTGAGCAATTTATGTTTGTTATCTGCCCCCACGATTCAGGAGAAAATCCTAGTGTAGGGGTAACGTCTTTAAAAAAAAAGTATTGATACTTTCAAAATTTTCGGAACCCTACACTAATTGAAACGTGAAGTGAATGACGTTTGACATCAATTATTTGACAAATTTATTTTGTAATTGCGTGTTATTTGTCAATTTGTATGAAAAGTTAAAAAAATATATCTCATGAACCGTAAGTTTCCGCAACCTAAAACTTTGCAAAACGCTTTCTTTTAGTGAGTACTATCTACAAAAACAATATGGGCATTGAAATCGATGGTCCATATTGGAAATTTTAGCCGATAAATGATGTGACGGTTTAACAATAATGAGTGATTCATTGAAGGCTTATCATTTATTAAAATCAACTAACCACTTAACAGTACGACATACCTGATCACAACCGTAATTGTAATTTCAGGTATGTAAAAGTTATAGTCTGCCAAGGAGGCATTTAGAGAAACTGGTGTCTTCCAGAAGTAACTTATTAAAATCAAAGTATTTTAAAACATTAGAAGATATAGAAAGATATGCTGATGACACAGTCTCCTCAGTATATTACTTGTTACTGAGTGTTGCTGGCATAACGGACATACATGCAGACCATGCTGCCTCTCATTTAGGAAAATCACAAGGGCTAACTAATATTTTAAGGTATGTAAAAGAATCACTATTTAATCTTTAATATTAAAGTTACAACCTATTAGTTTAGTTGATTCTTTGTGGTATCTCTGACTGTTTCTTTATAGTCAGCGAGGTGTTGTATTTGAGGTCGAGGGTATTAATATTCCCCGTCAACCAGTCTAGAGGCTTCTGGTCATCGCACCGCAGCTTCAGGACACCCTCCATGTAAACGGTTTTTCCTCTAAAAACTGGGCCTGACGCATCAGGGTCCTGGTTACTCCACACCTCGCTGATCATCTTCCTCTGTATAGCCACGAGGATGTCATCAGCTACCTCTTTTGTTATGTGACCTAAACGCACACACATTAAGGCCACACCCAAATCTGCTTTAGCAGCAGAAGCGTTGCTTGTTCTTGCAGCCTTTGGTTGCTGTTCGAGTCGCACTTTTTTGTGCTCTCCTCTCGGCGAGGTGGACTCATCCAGCATCCTTTTGGCTGTTCTCTCCTTCTTTCCAGGACACTTGGCTGCTCTCTGATTCCTGGCGGATGTCTTAGAGATAGTTCCTGCGGCCGTGCCTACTGCTTGGGCTGGATTTTCATTGTTCCCAGTTTTAGCACGGCTACTGGTTCCAGTCCCAAGCACCGCAGTGGCAGTAGCTTGCCCAGCTCCCTGAGTGTTGCTCTTGGAAACAACGAGAGTGGCTCTTACTCTGCGGCTTTTTTCTCGCTGCTCCTTATTCTTCTTTTTGACCTTCGCATCACTGCCTGCTGGGATGGACCCACCTGATGGTCCGTCAGGTTGGCAAGTCACCATTTTGGGTGCCTTGCCCTTCCCCTTGCCAGGCAGCAGAGAAAAGGTCATCAGTTCTTTGGGGGTCCGCAGGACTTTTTCTACTCGCGGCCCCTTGCTCATTTTTCGCGTCCAACTCCTTAGATTTGGAACTGGTTTTGGAAACATCCAGCGCGGAAATTGCCCTTCTGTTGAAAATGTTCCTTCTGGTTTATCAGTGTCTAAGGTAAACACGTCCCTGGCACGTCTCCCTGCGCTCTACTAATGGTCCTTGTGTTATCTATAGTTTTAGTGTGTTTCATACATTCGTCCCCCCGGCTTCCCACCCTCCATGGAGCCCGCACCTTTGGGAAAGATCTACTTTATTAAAAGAATTTCAGGCGTTAGGATTACTAGAGGAATATAGGGACGCAGATTTGGCTCACAGCGCGACATCGGGAGCTCGATCCAGCTGACAGGTAGGGCTGAAAAGGCCCATCCCCACTGCCCGAGTAGACTTTCACTTGCTTCGTCAGCAAGGCCTCTATCACCACCTATCCCTTTTCAGGGAGACTAGGCAGCTCCCACATCCCTCACCTGCGACCTTCTGACGAGACGCTTGGCCATTTCCCTATCTGTGGCTAGCAGATAAGGCCACCGTTTAGCTTGAAATCCGGCCCAAAGAGGGCGTGTTGCCTTTCGACACTATATACCCCAGTGCCGATCGGCTCAACCCTCCAGGATTCCTTCATCGCCGCGTACAGCGCTCAACTGCGCAGGTCCTAGCGCAGGTGGGTGTGTTAGTCCAACGGATACACCCACTCTCTCCGGCGGAACCGCTCCCTACTCTTTTGTGGGCTTGGAACCGGCAGCACCAAAAAGCACAGACAGTTAGCTGCCTGTGCTTTTTGTTGCAGGCAGAGTTCAATTACAATTTACAGCGAGCACTTAGCCCCTGAGCTTCAGCTCGTACTCTTATGACTTACTCTGTGGCAACCCCAATGACAAGTTGTAAAATAATAGCTCCCAACTATTTTATAAAATTAAATACTATAAATTGTTAATATCCACCTCAATTTCTAGTTACAGTTGTTAAATAAGACTTAATTGTGTTTGTAAAATAAATGAAAGTATTTTAATTAAATAGTGTTTTGTGTTTCAACTAAAAGTGACAGCTGTAACGTACATAGTTTGAACTTTCTGTAAGTTAGTGTAATTCTTGTTATCCCTTCAATATTTTAAGATTTACCTTTTAAATAAGTGCTGTTTTGGATTTCTATTTGAATTATTTACCTGATAATTTAATTTGAGATCAGTAAGTAGACCCATAGATCTAGATATTAGCTTACTCTGTTTCTTCAGTTTTCTTTCTTTGTTTTCTTTTGCTATTTACACATAATAGTAAAATGAATACACACAACGCTAAAACGCGCCAAATGGAGAACCAACTTCAAATGGCGCTTCCGGAACTTAAGGCGTCAAAGGAGCAGTGTGAGCTGTTGCTTGAAGAAAGCGATGACAACGAAAAGGAAATAATAAATATAATTGCCAAAAATACTCAACTAAAAAGTGATATGGTTAAGTTGCATAAAGACTATACAAATGTTTTAAAAGAAAGGGATCAGCTTCAGGGAACAGTTGATGAGTTTGACCGATGCAGCAAGGAATATGAGGAATCCCTCAGATTAATTGCTGCATTGCAGTTACAGATAAGTGAGGCTAATGAGCAGATTGAGCAATTAAAACAATACTCAAATGAATTGAAAGTGTCCCAAACTCGAAGTCTGTTCAATGAGCTCATAGAATGTAAATCTTCAAAAACATTGCAACCCTCCACAACAATCAATTTGACTGGTGATGATTTTGTCACATCAAGAAAAGCAGAACGGATTACATGCAGTAGAAGAAAATTAAAGAAATATATAATAAATATGTTAGGAGAGTGCAAAAGTTAATTAAAACTAAAATTAATATAAAAAATTATGTAAATATATCTAAGCAAAAGCATGAATTAATTAATAAACTTAAATTATATTCAATTATACAAATATGAAAAACTGTTATGAGACTGAAATAGAGTGTCTCAATTCAGAAGTTTTGTCGCTTAAAAATTATCTCAAATAAATAAGCATCGGCTCAAGTTGAGATAAAAGAACACATATTGGCCATGAATGATCTGGTAAAGTCATGTAAATACAATGAGGAGCGCTTTGACTCCTTAATAAAACATCAGAGTGAGAATGAGCGCTCCAGACCATTTTCATCGGGGACAATATGTGTAAATAGTAGTGACTCCTTATTGTCACCCACACTCTATGACAGTGCCATAACAAAGAATAAAAACTTAAAAAGTAATTTAGATATTAAAAAACATGAAGTTATTATGTATTGTGATGACATAGGTAAAAATTTGGGCATGATGTTAAAATACTATTTAAAAGGACAGGTAATTATTAATTATTTTATGCCTGGAGCATCCTTTAGTCATATAATGAATAAAGTTTTAACTAGTAAGTTTTGTCCTAATAGCACATTAATAATTCTTGTTGGGAGAAGAGGCAATGTAAACAAAAATCTTAAAATATATTGATTACCTCAATACTTTAAATGTACATAAAATTATCTTGTTTGCCTTACATACAGGGTTGGCCACAGGAGAATAAAATAAGATATGATTTAAATTTATTAATGAATAATTTGTCATGTAACAATAATTTAAATTTGACATTTAATTGTAATAATTATACTAATAGCATTAATTTAATAGACATTAATAATTTAATTAAGAAATTTTTGCCTACAGATAGATTTAGATTTGAAATTTTAGATTTGAGACAGATCGCAAATGTGCTATCATATCATTTATATATTAACTCAGCAAGGACTTGGCTACCCAGACATCTGCTCCTATTGAGCAGCATAATGATGTGACATGCAATTTGGAATCCGTTCCAAGTAATTTAAATTAGAAAATGAGACAATAGAGGTAATCTGTAGCAGTTATAATAATTTAAATAATTTAGAATGTAGCTTACAAATCCTTAATAGTTGCAATTGTATAACTCCACAAAATGATAATAAAAATTGTTTACACCTAGTGCATCAGAATATACAAGGCATGATAAGCAAAGAGCTAGAAATTGAATTGTTCTTAAATAGCAACAATATTCATATTTTATGTATTACTGAACATTGGTTAAAAACTCATAATTTAATGTTTAACTTCAGTAATCACCAGGTGGCTCCTTAATTTTAGTTAGTAAATTATTATCATGTAAAGAACGTAAAGATATTGTGAGCCTCTCTGTTGAGCGAACTGTAGAAATAGCATGTGTTGAGTTTGAGCACCTCATTGTTGTGAGCGTTTACAGACCCCATGTTTTTTATATGATACTTTTGAAAATATTTTGGAGGAAGTTTTTGCTAAGCTTAACAAACAGAATGTAACACAATGTATGTACTGTTGTAATATGTGGAGACTTTAATATCAATCTCCTAGAAGCTTCCTCCACCAATATTAAATTAAGATCATTGTTTAAATCTAATGGTCTTTTTAATTTATTTTTGGAGCCAACGCATATTGCTGAATCTAGTGCAACATGTTTAGATAACATTTTTACAAATGTTAAGCCGTTCAATAAATGTATTATTCAAAAATTGAGCTCTGATCACTGTGGACAATTAGTTTCGTTACCTTATGTTCACAAAAAGCAAGTAAATATAAAAGTAGTGTTTGTTCCAGTAAATGCACGTCGCTTGGAGATGTTTAGAAGTAACATAGTAAAAAACTTCCATCACTTTCATACCAAAATAATCCAGATTTTTTGTATGGAACATTATTTAACATTATTTGCAATGAATTTAATAATACTTTTACTTCTAAAACATTCTCCTTGAACAATCGCAAGGCATTTAATGAGTGGGCGACAATAGGAGTCCAAAAGAGTAGACAAAGGTTATATGAACTTTACAATGAAAGGTCATATAATCCTAGCGTCGAATTTAGGGAATATGTAAAAAAATATTCCAAAATATTTAAAACAGTGTGCTCCATAGCTAAGTCATTGTATTTGAGCAACAAAATAAAGACGGCTTCTAATAAAATTAAAATGACATGGAGTATAATTAATAGTGAAACTAGTAAGGTTAACTCTCGCAATTCGAACTATCACTTAAGTTTTAACAATAATTTAATTGAATCAGATCAGGACGTTGCAATGTTTTTCGAGAAATATTTTACTGATATTCCTATCTTAACCACTAAGTCACTGAATTCTTCTCCTGCCGTCGCCGAATCATTACTTAAACAAAATGTAACAAAGAATTTTACATTTCATAAAATGTCATCAAAAGATATTCTAAAATATTTTAAGACTATTGATATTAAGAAAACCGCCGATCTGTGGGGGATTTCCGTTAAAGTTATTGCGTCTATAATAGATTCAATCGCACCTCAACTATCTATTATTTTTAATACTAGTATAAAATCTGGCGTGTTTCCTGATTTAATGAAGCATAGTAAAGTAATACCTTTATTTAAATCTGGCAGTACATTGGACCCCGCTAATTTTAGACCTATTTCTATCCTGCCAACACTTTTGAAAAAAAATTGCCAAATTTTTGAAAAAATTATTCTTGATCTAATGTTAAATTTTTTTAATGTACATAGTTTACTTCATAAAAATCAATTCGGTTTCACAAACGGTCGCTCAACAACTGATGCTGGTGTTGAGCTTATTAAATATATCTTTAATGCATGGGAGAATTCACAGGATGCTTTGGGTATATTCTGTGACCTATCCAAGGCCTTCGATTGTGTTCACCATGAAACATTAATCAGGAAACTTCAACACTACGGTGTAAGAAGTGATGCTCTTAAATTAATTATTTCATATTTAAGTGACAGAACGCAAAAAGTTGTAATTAATAGTATGAGTTCTTCCGGGTCGACTGTACAAATGGGCGTGCCTCAGGGCTCAATTCTCGGCCCCTTTCTATTTCTTGTATATATTAATGACTTACCTTACATAGTATATAGGGGATAACCATGATATATTATTATATGCAGATGATACTTCATTAATTTTCAAATTAAAACGACAGTTATTAAATTACGACGAAGTAAATAATGCTATAGCTAAGATAGTCAATTGGTTTAATGTTAATAATTTGCAGTTAAATGGAACTAAAATGTAATTTTAAATGGGGAAGAACTGAGTCTTGTTGATACCACCATTTTTCTTGGAATCACACTAGACGCAAAGCTTCAATGGCTCCCCCCATATATCAAAACTAGCTAGCAGACTTAGTTCTGCAGCATATGCTGTAAAAAAGATTAGAACTCTTACCAGTGCTGAAACAGCAAGAATAGTTTACTTTAGTTATTTCCATAGCATTATGTCGTATGGTATTTTGCTATGGGGACACGCGACTAACACTGAAATTATATTTATTTTACAGAAGAGAGCTATTAGAGCAATATATAATTTAAAACCAAAAGAGTCACTGAGACAAAAATTTAAGGAAATTAATATATTAACTCTGACCTCTCAATATATTTATAAAAATGTAATGTACGTAACGTACACGAGAATAAACATAGTTTTGCAAAAATAAGTGATATTCATTCTGTAAATACTAGGAACAGACACAAGCTAGTAGTACCAGTTACTCGACTCCACCGAGTCAGTAATTCATTCTTGGGGCGATGTATACGCTTTTACAATAAAATCCCAGAAAATATACAAACTTTGTCATACGCAAAGTTGAAAAATTTTATTAAACTAAGTTTGTATAAAAAGGGTTATTATAATTATATATTTAGGAATTTATGGATGATAGTAACTCCTGGGAAGGGTGATTGCTCCCAACCTATTTCTAATTTGTGTTGTGTTAATTTTAAACATGATTGTAAGCTATTATTTGAAAAAAAAAATAGTCCCGCTGGGTTTCTTGCTGGTTCTTCCCAGGACAGAGGTTTTTTTTTTGCGTACCAGTGGTAAATGAAAAAATTGACTTTCAATAAGTATTGCTTATAATCTACATTGAATAAAAAGTTTCTGTTCTGTTTCTGTTCTTAAATATTAATCCATGAATAATTTTCTATAATTATTTTGAACAACTTAAAAAAAGGAGTTAAATTCAAGTGTGTTTTTTTAATCTTTTGGCTGATTGTAGTTCCGTACCTCCCCTTCTAATTTAGTATCCATGGATGCACGTTGGCAGAAAGACAGTAACATAGAGATTCTTATGCTCTACCAAAGCTTCACTTTTGGATTGGATTTGATCCCGACTGGCCCATGCACTCAGCTGGTAGACCCCACAACTGTGATGCCATTTGTGTACTCATTGATACTGGACATAAGCAGGTCATTGATATGCAGCAGGGAGATGTGAACATAGTCATAATTTCGGAAGAGCATCCTTCGACAGCAACTCAAAGAGACCATTCACTCCAAGAATTTATCATCCAGCTGATTAGACTACTGGATAAGCTGTAAGTTGAAAGCATACCTAAAACACTAGCGTGCCAGACCTTGTCAAAAAAGCCGTTTAGACATCAAGACAAACAGCAATTGCTACTTACGCTAGAAATTCGCCAGTTAGAGCGGAACCCATACTGTTAATCGATGAGGAGGTCGTTCTTCACTTGGTCTGCCATGAGTTAAACTTTAAATATACGCTCTATAATATTGCAGATTATGGAGCCAATAGAAATTTTTCGATAATTGGCAGGGTCAGCACAGCTGAATTTTTGTACACTTCCTTGAGAACTTGGGTACTATTCCAGTCTTAAAAAAGAAGCGGAACAAGCAAAGCAAGGCGAAAAGAACTACATCTGGTATACCATATGTAGTATGTAGATCTACGAGACCTAATAGCTTTGTTCACGCCAAGTTGGGGCATAGAAGCTTAATGAGAGGTGCTTAATGAAGCACTTTTTAATTGGTGGCATAATCTGTAGAAAAATGAAAACTGGCTCCGCACGTATGGGACGCAATTCGAATCCTATGAGTGTGGAGCAGACGCGGCTGGTCCACCGGGCACTAAGACAGGCCATCGCTAAGTCGGCGTGTGGGGCGCAACTGGGAATGGGTCCAAAATTTTCGGGTTTCACCCACAAACCAGGTTGGATTTTGGTAACGTGCCTGAATAAGGAAAGCCAGGACTGGATTGTGGGTAAAATCGGAAAACTGAAGCCCTGGCCGGAGGCAGAGCTCTCGGTAATACCCGAGGGCGAATTGCCTAAGCCTCAGCTGGGCATTACCTACTAGCCCCACAGCAAAGCCGACTTTCCAGAGGAGGTAGCTGTGCTGTTGAGGGCACAAAATGAATGGCTCCATACTGAGCTCTGTAGAATCCTCCATCGTAGGGACGAGGAGAATGGGTTCTTAGTTAGTTCTTCGTAGTTAGTTTCCATTATAGATTCCATATATATATATAGAAATAGAAAGGTCAAATGGAGTTTTGCTCAAGATAGTGTTGGGATAGCATCCTGTTCTTCAAGGATGCTATCCCAACACTATCTTATGCATATGCTATTTTGGTGAATGATGACGGATCACCAATTACAGTAGAAACGAGTAGAATAATCTATACATATAAAATAATTTGTCCTGAATGACTGACTGATGGACACAGCCTAAACCGCTGATCGTAGAGAACTGAAACTTGGAGGGTGTATTCTTTGTATGACATAGGCATACGGACGTCCTGCGCTACCGCGGACAATATCGGGCTTATTGTCCGCATCCGTCCGCAATATCACTCGCCATAGGAAACCCAACTCAAAAATATAGCTACACTATGTACACACTGCACTGTCAGACGCACGGCGTCCGACGAAAATCTAGAATTGCTGGATCGTCATCCCGTACGTCCAAATTGGCCGTACGTTTATCTAAATTTAGTTCTAGTTTGACTGTTGTCGGCAAATAAAAGAAGAGTGATGTAAATATTTTTAAAAATTACCAACAGCGGTCAAATTGACTTCACCGTTTTTTTAGGTCAATTCATGTTTCTAATTACCACAAAATAGTAGCACTACCTATGGACGTCTTAATGAAGTATCAAGTAAGCCAGGAAGAAGTTTTGAGAGGAGTTGACAGTGAAAAGATGAGAAATGTTGCATTTGAAATAGCCAGTAGAGCAAATAATCATCTAAAAAAGGTAATCATTTTAAATTTCAATGGTATTTGTGTATATTATCAATGTATTATAATTTAGAATAAAAATATAAGCAAACTCGATTATAGTATATACAATACCTTTGTGCTTGCTTAAAAAATTTTCATCAACTAAAATTATATTTTGAAATCTCATGTTTTGTAAATTAATAGTAAACTTCAATTAAGTTATTTATGTGTATTAGTAGTTACAACGATAGGTTGACTTATCAAGATACCGCTAAGTTAAGTTCTGTTATTCTAACTAGTAATTATAAGTTTATTTATATATTACAGCAATGTATTGGCAGCGTAAGAGAATCCACTGCCCCATACATCCTGTGGCTGTCGTAAGAGGCGACAGAGAGAAACTGACATAGTAGATGGCCAGAAGCATCTACCCGATAACAACTCTAAATAATAAAGAACTGGGTCAACCAAACCGCTTCACTATGGGACGAAACGGCGTGTTCCATCTCAAAAATGGTTCAGACAAAAATCGTGTTACTGAAACCGTTTTGATTTGTTTACATTCTGGGAAGATAGAGCTATCTGATATAACAGTAAAAAAATTATTAGTTTTAAGTATATAAAATTACAGCCAAACTTTGCACTTCGATAATTTCATATTGATTAGATTACTTATTTGCATTTATCTATGACATTTGTGGATACAACAAAATACTTGTTATTGTTTGTTTACAATAATATACTTTTTATTTTATTAATAAGCACAAAATATCATAGGTACTTAATATTTGGAAAAATATTTTCACAAGATTTTCTTTTGCGGTGATCAACCACACATATGATAAAAACGATGCTGCATACTTCATCTGTTGTGATAATTATAATCCGTATTAGTTATAGCATTTCTGTGAGAACTATTTTAATCGATATTTTATTTATTTAATTTTTGTATGAAAATTTTCAAAATATTAGTTTAGTCATTTTTTTACTATGTATTCAGGGATATGTATACAAAATTTGTATTTAAAATGTCTAGAAACATAAAAGTTATAGATTTTTGAGATGGAACGCACCGTTTAGGTAAAATTCTGTTGACTTTGATATTATGTAATCATGACTAATGATGATATATTAGATCCCTTAAACTATAAAGTTTAAAAAAATAATAAATATTTCTGTGTTGTTTCAGGCACGGCAAATTAAAGTGCCACCAATAACTAATCAGATATTTTTACCTGCGATTGCAGTGGACTCCTACTTGACTAAACTGCAAAAGAATAATTTTAATTTGTTTGATAAATCATTACAATGTAGTAGTACAATTTTACCTTTTAAATTTTATTACAAAAGGATATTAAATAAATACTAATTCTCATTATGTAGTGCAAAATATTTGTTTAATTATTTTTATATCCTCTAAGAAAATGGCTGGATAAAATACGACGTAAAAAATTACAACTATAAGAATAAAACAGTTCAATTGCTTTACTTTTATATTCAGTCGGGTTATAATTTATTATATTGGTAGCATATAAATCTGCTTGGAAAATCGGCCCCTATTGGTTTTTGCATCCTTTAGGGGCTGATTTTCCAAGCACATTTATAGATTTGATAGATATATATATATATATATATATATATATAACGGGTGTCCGGTGGCAGAATTAGGATTTAAATTTCGAACTGTTTTCGAACCGTTAGCGGAGGGGCGGGCGGGGGGGTCACGTTCGATTCGTCATTCGTGCGGGTTCCTTAGTCACGATGTCGCAGTGGACGGGTGAACAACGTGCGTTCGCAATCGAAGCTTATTTTAAAGCAAACGATTCCTGTGCTATTGCTCGTCGAAGATTTTGTTCGCGGTACAATATCCGACGGTTACGTGATGCGCCAAGCGAAAATTTGATTCGATTGTGGGTGCGGAGGTTCAGAAAAACAAGTTCAGCAGCAAATAATCCGCGGCCGGGATCCAGCAGAACGTCGAGGACTGATGACAACATCGAACTTGTCGCAAACAGTTTACGCGATAACCCGCGACAGTCCGTGCGTAAGAGAGCGGCTGCTCTAGGGCTCCCAAAAACGATTGTGCACGAAATATTGAAAAAGGACCTTAAACTTCACCCCTTTAAAATTCAAATTGTGCAAGCGCTTAAGCCTAATGATTACAATTGGCGCAAAAGTTTCTGCGAAACAATGTTGCAGCGATTTCGTACAGTGAACACAATCTTTTGGAGCGATGAAGCCCATTTTCATTTAAATGGAAGTGTAAATAAACAGAACTGCCGTTATTGGTCACCTAAAGGACAGAACCCGCGATTGAAACATCAACAGCCACTTCACAGTCCCAAAGTGACGGTTTGGTGTGCATTGTCAAGCAGAGGAATAATCGGACCCTATTTTTTTTGAAAATCGTCAAGGACAAGCCATTACTGTAACCGGCGTTTCTTATCGGCGAATGCTTAACGATTTTTTCCTGCCAATATTAAGAGAACATCCTGCCTACAGTTCACAGACATGGTTTCAGCAAGATGGCGCCACGCCTCACACTGCTAGAGAGACCATGGCGCTTCTTCGTGATTTGTTCCCTAACAAATTGATAAGCCGTTTTGCTGACATTCCCTGGCCACCCAGGTCGCCGGATCTTACCCCCATGGACTTTTTTCTGTGGGGGTACCTCAAAAGTAAAGTTTATGAAACCGCCCCACCGACCATCTCAGCATTAAAAGAAAATATCGTTCGCGAGGTTAATGGCATCCCGACGTCCCTTCTCCAGCGAGTGGCGCGCAATACTGAAGCCAGATTCCAAGAGTGTGTCCGACGTGATGGTCAACATTTAGACGAAATAATTTTTAAGAAATAAAACCCGCACTTCCCTTCTTTGTTATAGTCATTGAAATAAAAAAAAATATTTTGCAGTTTTTTTATTATTTAATTTTGAAATCCTAATTCTGCCACCGGACACCCGGTATATAGATCTATTTAGTATACCCCTTACTATACCTTTTTATTTACTATACCTACTAATACCATTTATTTACTATACCATTTTTGTAATGTTTGTATTGAACGCGGCTGAAAAAAGATACGCACAATCCAAAAGGAGGCAACCACTATCATAAACGGCGTGCGACGTTTACATCAGTATATTTATGGTAGATCGGCACCTATGGTAGATTGGGCTATATAAGGGTGTACCTGAAGTATCTGCAAATAGGTTACAACAATACGCATTATTCCTGGGCAGTGACAACTATGTAATCGAATACATACAAATTCGTGATAATAGCGCGGATTATTTATCGCGAGCGAGCCTGTCCGTTTCCGGCGCGAGCGCGGCCCGCCCCATCCAGCGATCTCGCCCGCAGCCGTGCGCTTAGGGCGGGCCGAGTTGTGACCGCACCACCTATATTTGCTTTGTATCCGATGGTATGACTGTAACCTTGGATAAATTGCGGGAAGAAACAAACAAAGATAAGGTTTTAAAAAGGGTAATTAGGTTCATAGCTAACGATTCGCCATCGAAAGGAAGCGATGTAAGATTAAGACCATTTTTTATGTAGATATCAGCTGTCTATCGAAAGTTATCTATATCAGAGAGCTTAGAAATTATAGACAATGTTAGATGTATTTTATGCTGGTCTTCTAATAAAGTACCTAATCGAAAATAAACTAGAGCTAGGCCTAGAACGAAATCCAGATTACGGCATGATTCGGCAAAAATTTTAAAAATTGTAAAGGAAATTGAAGTAGATGACGATGATATTCATAGAGCCACCAAATAAAAAAGAGGGTAAATTCTACCGTGAGTGACATCATAAAAAATAGTGTCACTCACGGCAATGTAAGGATTCTAACGATATACAATACACCTATATCCATCTGGTAGATCAGAAGTTATGGTGGATTAAAGAAATAAAGATCACGTGAACTGTGAAAACCTAGCACTCATTTTTTAAGCATTCGTGTAAAAACGAAAAGCATTTATTATTTAAATATTAATAATAACGTAATTAAAGTTCTTGTAAATTTACTGGTAAAAATTTTATTTGTTATTGTAAGGAAGCCCTCAATTTTGTCACTGTAGGTAAATAATAAATATACTCGCCCTTTTCCGATCACTGAGTGAAGATTCATTGAATCTGAGATGTAATCCTTCACCGCTGGCCGTATGAGGAAGTTAAAGTTCGCTCAGTGAATCTGAGATGTAGTCCTTCACTGCTGGCCCTATGAGGAAGCTAAAGTTCGCTCAGTGAATCTGAGATGTAGTCCTTCACTGCTGGCCGTATGAGGAAGCTAAAGTTCGCTCAGTGAATCTGAGATGTAGTCCTTCACTGCTGGCCGTATGAGGAAGCTAAAGTTCGCTCAGTGCATCTGAGATGTAGTCCTTCACTGCTGGCTCTATGAGGAAGCTAAAGTTCGCTCAGTGAATCTGAGATGAAGTCCTTCACTGCTGGCCGTATGAGGAAGCTAAATTTCGCTCAGTGAATCTGAGATGTAGTCCTTCACTGCTGGCCCTATGAGGAAGCTAAAGTTCTTATATTTACGCGAACACTACACATTGAAATAATACTAGTTTTTACGGAATTTAACGCGTATATTTAACTTTTTAAATACCCGACGTCTCGAACGCTTTACAGCACTCATGGTCACGGGCAGGACTGAGATGTTCAACGTCCATATGTCGTAGTTAACCGCGGTTACCATAGATTAAAATTTAACTTTTGTTCCGATCTATGCAGTATGAACTTATGGTATCTTGAAGTCTTGCAGTTGTATGCTTGGGTTGGGATTTAATTTTATTTATTATAGGATCCCAAGCAGATGGTAGCACCCAGCCATCTTCTCTATTGAAATTAGGATGTTTTTTGATTTCAATAGCCTCGCGAATCATCCTTGGAAGGAATCGGTGTTCTTTAGCGAGGATCTGCGGTCTATCAAATCTGATGTAGTGACGGGGGCGATCCTGTACGTGTTCACAGACTGCAGACTTCCCGGAGCGTCGATTCTTCACATCAGCTATATATTCTTTAACGCGGGTTTTTATTGATCTTTTAGTTTGTCCTATGTAGGAGAGACCACATTCACAATCAAGCTTGTACACTCCTGCATCTTGCAGAGGGACATTACACTTGACCGATGGTATAGAGAAATGACATGCAGGAAGCCGATGGACCTAAGTGGCTCGGGACCGTGCTTGGTGACATTCCTTGGGGAAGGCCTATGTTCGATGATGATGATGATGATAACGATTTTATATATATTTTCCTGCTTAGTCGACATAAAAGTACGAATACTTACTGGTTTAATTACGGCGACGCAAATCGGTCGGGATTACATCACCATTAACGTGCAACATACGAGCGTTTTTAAGTTCGCGGAATCGGTAGTGGGGACGTCGTTGAATTACATGCTAATTGAGCAAATTATTATTAGTATAAATACCGGGTTTTATTGTAATTAGATCATTACTCTTTGAGTTATCACCAACCAAACAAGTCAATCGGGAAGAAATTGTGAAATATGGAGAAAATCGAGTTCCGTGCCGTCATAAAGTTCCTTACCAAGCATGGAAAATCAGTTCAGTCTATACTGGAAGAGATGTCATCCGTTTACGGAGACTCTTGTCCAAGTAAAACTATGGTTTACCAATGGCATACCCTTTTTAAACTAGGCAGAGAGTCATTTGAAGACGACCCACGGCCGGAAAGCCGATCGAAGTGACCACTTCGGAAATTATTCAAAAAGTCGATAGAAGATGCCCGCTTAAAGAAAAAACAGCTCGCAGAAATGGTTGGAGTATTTATTTATTTGTATGGATCTCCAACAGTTGTACATGTCGGTACCTGCGCCATTTCACGTGCAGCAGCGCCTCGGTGGCTAGTCGGAATTATTGTAAACAACACGTGCACCGCACACCTACGCATTGCACCTGCGGTGGCGCTCGGGTAGCTACTTGTCTCAATTGTATAAAACGAACTGAGCGGCCGCCGTTAAGGCAGTAAGGCAGTCATGGCTCTGGCGTGGCACGGTTCACTTGTTGTATCCCGCTATTAGCTCATTCTAGACTATTCGGATAATTGATTCGTGGAAACGAATTAATTATTATTATCAGCTATTAAATTAGTCTCAGTACAATTTATAGTTGATTGACCTGTGATCCGTGTATTTTGTGAATGTAAATTAATTCTATTTAACTACCTTCCTACATACATATTAAATACTTCTAACACATGCTTTACATCTATAAATTACTATGTTACTACCAATTATAGGAGAACACATCATTCCAAAACAATAGCAGTGTTTATAATTTGCCTATTTTAATGGTAGTTAGAAGAAAAATAAGTTTTACGAACAAAAGATTGTTAATAG